AGATTAGGATGGCTAGCAGCACTGAAGGAAACAGGGCAGCATTACAGCATAACACATCCGATTACGTACATACATCCAGAACTGTGAATATGCACGGTTAGATTAGGATAGCTAGTTTTGCACTGAAGGAAACAGGGCAACAAAATAGCAAAAACACGTCCTTGTACGTGCCGTGTAGTCGCCATAGCGACAGAACTGAATATGCAGTTAGATAGGATAGCTGGATGTTGCACTGAGGATAGAGGGCAACATAACAGCATTACCCATCAGTGTGCACATATCAAGCATCTGAGTGTATAATGCGGTGCAAGTCGACGAAGCGACCGAGACTGCATGAATATGCACAGTTCACATAATGGTCAGTTACGTTCGCAACATAACTGCATAACGCTTCAGTGTGGACACAGATGCAGCGCAAGTCGCCGTAGCGACAAACTGTGACTATGCACAGTTAGATAGGATAGCTAGGTGCACTGAAGGATACAGGGCAACGCGTTAGCATAGTCACATTAGTGTGTACAAAAACACAGCGTCAGAGGCATCGCGACATCGACTGTGAATACATAGTAAGTCAGAATAGCCGGTTGCACTGATGATACAGGGCAATATTTAGCGGCGTAAACATAGCACATCAGTGCGTAGCGTGTACACAGCGTCAGTTGCCCCGCACAACAACTGTGTACGTAATCAGAATAGCCATTTGCACTGAAGGATACAGGGCAATGTACGACGGCATAAATCATAACACATACAGTGTGTAGAGTGTACATAGACACGGCGTCAGTTGCATCACACGACAACTGTGAATATGCACTGCGTAGTAATCAGAATAGCCATTTGCACTGAAGGACACAGGGCAATATACAATGGCATAAATCATTACACATAACAGTGGGTTGTATGTACGTAACAGTGTCAGTTGCATCGCACCACACTGTGAATACGTAGTAATCAGAATAGTTATTTGCACTGAAGGACACAGGGCAAAATACAAAGGCAAAACTCATAACACATAGTGTGTAGTGTGTACATAACACAGCGTCAGTTGCATCGCACGACAACTGTGAATACGTACTGCATAGTAATCAGAATAGCCATTTGCACTGAAAATTACAGGGCAATATATAATGGCATAAATCCCAACACGTAACGCTGTGTAGTGAGTACGTAACACAGCGTCAGTCGCTTGCACAACAACTGTGAATACGTAGTAATCAGAATAGCCATTTGCACTGAAGGATACAGGGCAACAACGGTAAAATTCATAACGCAGTGTACAGTGTGTACGTAACACAGCGTCAGTTGCATCGCAAGACTGTGAATACGTAGTAATCGGAATAGCCATTTGCACTGAAGGATAAGGAACAGGGCAATATGTAATGGCATAAATCATACACATAACAGTGCGTAGTGTGTACGTAACACAGCGTCCGTTGCAACGCAACAACTGTGAATACGTAGTAATCAGAATAGCCAGTTGCACTGAAGGGTACAGGGCAATATCGTGGCATAAGCATAACACACACATATCAGTGTACATAAACACAGCGTCAGTGGCATCGCACAACTGTGAATCAGAATAGCCATTTGCACTGAAGGATACAGGGCAATTTATAGCGGCATGAATCATGAACACATATCAGTGTGTAGAGTGCACGTAAACGCAGCGTCATTTTATCGCACAACAACTGTGAATACGTGGTAATCAGAATAGCCATTTGCACTGAAGAAACAGGGCAGCATATAACGGCGCAAATCTTAGCACATATAGTGTGCAGTGTGAACATAAACACAGCGTCAGTGGCTTAGCGACAACACTGTGAAAACGTGGTTAAATCAGAATGGCCAGTTGCACTTAGGGATACAGGGCAATATATAAGGGCATAACAGTTAAATCATAGCACAAATCAGTGTGCAGTGTGTACATAAACACAGCGTCAGTGGCGTAGCGACAACAACTGCGATTATGTGGTTAAATCAGAATGGCCAGATGCACTGAGGGATACAGGGCAATATATAAGGGCATAACAGTTAAATCATAGCACAAATCAGTGTGCAGTGTGTACATAAACACAGCGCCAGTGGCAAAGCGACAACAACTGCGATTATGTGGTTAAATCAGAATGGCCAGATGCACTGAGGGATACAGGGCAATATATAAGGGCATAACAGTTAAATCATAGCACATATCAATGTGCAGTGTGTACATAAACACAGCGTCAGTGGCAAAGCGACAACAACTGTGGATACGTGGTAATCAGAATAGCCATTCGCACTGAGAGAAACAGGGCAATATATGACGGCACAAATCATATCACATACCAGTGTGTAGTCTGAACATAAACACAGCGTCAGTGGCGTAGCGACAACAACTGTGGATACGTGGTTAAATCAGAATGGCCAGTTGCACTGAAGGATACAGGGCAGCCTGACGACATAAGCTGTAAGCTGTGCACCTCCATTACCAGAGCGGGGCGTCCTGACGCGGCGCTCTCCGTGGCCTGTGTCGCCACATTCCCGGTCCCGCCCTCTGCCAACGGTGAAGATCCGGTTCGTTTCGGGTTCGAACCGTTTTGGCGGCTGTAGCCGAATTAGGCGGGACGAGGTGCCGACGAAGAGAGACATCGAGGAAGGCTGGACCGTATAGAGATCAAAAGTTTCGGTTTAATGTCTGGCCGCGGCGAGACTAAATTTCATGCTGTGAGAGCTGGGATCGAACACGGGTCTCCCGTGCGACGGCTTTGGGTTTCGCCACTGAACCACAGGGGGAAATGACCACTTTCGCGCCTTTAGACACAGAGCCATCGCCTTGCCTCGTCTCTCTGGATGCGTCTTCGCATGACTTACCATAGGACGTCGTGAAGACGGAATCTTTTTGAAGTAGCTTGGCTGATAGATACCGAGCTAAGTAAAATAATAAAAGTATCCTTTCCGACGAAGCCTATCGCGTCGAGTCCTTCTAGCGAGCCCGCGAAAAGGACCGGAGAGGCGACGGGCAGGTTAAAATGCATCTGCTGCGAGAGCCGGGATCGAACACGGGTCTCTCGCGCGAAGGCTTCGGGTTCCGCCACTGGGCCACAGGGGGGAACGACTGTTAACTCTTCTTTGGGCGTGAGAGGGCCCACCAGCAGCCGCTGGCGGCAGTGGGCCTCATCCCTGCTGATGCCCGGGTTTATGAGGGCGCGTACCGGTAGACCAGCACGTATGCCTGTCGTCCGTGAGTGCGGCCTCGGTAGATCCTTGTTTGGGTAGAGCGAGTCGATACCGCACATATCTGGCATGTAGCAGCCATCGGATGCGGGGAGGAAACGTGGTGAGTAACCTCCATTGCAACTTCCACGATGACTTCAGATAAGACTTCTAGCGTGAAGAAAGAGATTCTGACGTAATTGTCGCGCCCATGCTTTTTATACTGCCCGCGGACCGGTCAGCATTTGCATGTTTTGCGTCAATTGGCCAGCTGTCTCCAGCTGGCGTTAATCTATAAGATTTCAGTGAAAATGGAGAAGGGGAGGAGTTCCCATATACGTCAGTATGACGTAATGTCGAAGTGACCGCCTTGAAAGGGAACCTGTTGTAGGAGACTCCAAAACAACATTAGGAAACTTTAAAATAGCATAATAGGGAAACTTTAAGATGCATTTTGATCGATCGGATCACAAGTGGACGACGCTAAATACAGGTGTAAAGGGGGTCTAAAATGTTTTGACCTTGTCCACTTTCGACCACTTCCAAAGGTAGTCGAAAAACGCTTTCTTAGTGTTACAAACGTTCATGTGGTCGAATGCGTTCGAACAGCAACAAAATACCGCCTTCTCTCCGCCTACTGAGTCTGACCTAACGTGTAAACGAAAGGTGTGTTTGACTTGAAGCGGCGCTGCGCAGACTGATCAGTGTATGACATCACAGTACCGCAAACAGACCCGTATGCTTTCGCGGTACTTTGACGTCATACATCGATCGGTCTGTGCAGTGCCGCATCAAGCCAAACACACCTATTATCAAGTGCCATTCACTGCAGAGCTAAATGACATCCAGCTCTACCTCTCTGGATGGCATTAGTTGAGCTTAACCTCGTCCAGCTTCACCTCTGTGGATCTAATGGGTGGAGGGATTTGGGTTATTGTTAGGGTGTGGTTGGACCTTCTAGCTCCACCCATTACGCCCAAATTACATCAGGAGAGGGGAGCTGGACTTCACACTCCACCCATGGCTCTGCAGTGAGCAGCCTCTCAACATAATGATATGCGCGTTAGTCAGACGAGAACCAGTTTGGTTTAAAGACGAAAAACGCACCAAGCACAATGTTCTCTCACCATTCCTGATTTCTAACACACACTCACAGCGTTCAGAGTGGTCTTGCGGATAAGAGCAGAAACAAAAGCTAATGCTCTACGTATATTTTTCCACCGTCTCCAGTCGTGTTTGTAGCCAATGTAAAGCTTTTTCAGATCTTTCGATCTAATGGATATCTCCGCTGGTGTGTGGACACTAATATAGTTATCGTTCTTGGTGTGAACGAGACTTAAAGACAGAAGAGTTTTTGAAGAAAAATTACTGTCGGCTTTCCTAAAAACACTCTCAAGAGTGTAAGATTCAAATATTCAAAACAGCTTTTACTGACAGAACAGCAGTCGTTGAGAAAAGCGTCATGGAACGAACATGCTACCATATTATATCTGAAAGAAATGCATTACATAGCCAGTGCAAGACTTCAGGCATTGCAATAAATCAAAGGTCATGTGATTGCACTGTAATGTGAATAATTTATGGCTGCATACTGTGCTCTGTATGGCACGCTTTTTCAAGAAAAGACGTGCAGCCGCCTGTACAGACAGAGAGAGCTGCAGGAAAAATGGGCAGAGCTGGATCTGAATCCAACATTCAGCAATAAAAATAGGTTCAGCAACAGCACTGCTTCAAAATCCAATAAAATAACAGTGTGTGGGTGAGGGATCTGATCCAATCTCACACCAACACCTAGTGGATTAACATGAATTATAAAACGGTTAGTTACAATCCTTGATTCTGATTGGTCAATAGCTGTGCTTTATTCACGATAAAACACGGCTATGACCGCTTCACCCAACGGTTCTATTTATCACTGCGCCCTTAGCAACACCCTTAGCAACCACACGTATCAACATAAACAGACAAAAAACGTAAGAATTAAAAAGGCTAAAATGTTTAAAGTAAATTTCGATTTATTAGGTGGCATGACGATGGATAAGTGGTTTGAGGAACAATTTGTAGAGACTTCTACAAATATGAACCGTCATGCTGAAGTGCTGAAATGTAACATTGATACATTCAAGAAGACTCGTAATGAAAAAAATACCGTGCAGCAAACCCAATGGGCAGTGAAATGCTTCGGTGACTGGTGTAGTGAAAAGGGTTGCAGCATTGATTTTAAACAAATCACCAAGACGGAACTCAACGCACTTCTCCGTGACTTCTACGGAACTGTCAGAAGCTCCAAAGGCGAAAAATATGGGATCAGTAGCTATGTAGCGTTACGTGCGGGTGTGAACAGATTCCTGAATGATCCACCTTTGAGTTTGTCCTGGTGTCTGATGAGAGACAGCGAATTCACCTCATCCAATAATGTTTTCGTTGGAGTCGTAAAGACAATGAGAAGAGAGGGTCGTGATAAAACGGAGCATCACACATCGATTTCTACGAAAGATTTCAGCACCATAAAACTGTCCGATGCGCTTAATCCTAACACACCTGAAGGACTCGTTAACAAAGTCTGGTTTGACGTGCAGTTACACTTCGGACGTAGAGGAAAAGAGGGGAACCGAGAACTCATTCCAGACTCATTCCGCATTTTAACAAACGAAAATGGTGTAAAGTATGTCACAATGAGCTTCAATGAAGACACAAAAAACCATAAGGACCCACATGACAGAAATAAGGAGAGCAGGCGTGGCTTCATGTTCCAACAAACTGGGAACCCGCTTTGTCCCGTTGCCTCTCTAGAGAAGTACGTTTCTCTTCTGCCATCTAACCCCCCTGCTTTTTACCTTCACCCCAAAAAGCAAAACCTCTCTAAATGTGTTTGGTACGTAGATCACGCAGCGGCACATAAATCATATTAGCTATTTATAATTTGTGTTAAATCTTGTTGTGTTAAAGTTTTTTCTCGTTTTTGACTGTTGCAGGTACACAAGAGAGCCTATGGCTGTGAACTACCTCGCAACAATGTTGCAGAGAATTTGTAAAGCAGCATGCACCTCAAAGGTTTACACAAATCACTGCCTTCGCAGCACCATGGTGCAGAGATTGTCCGATGCTGGTCTCGAATCGAGGGAAATTATGTCTGTGAGTGGACATAAGTGTGAAAGTTCACTACAGAGCTACTGGAGGCCAAACTTAAAACAAAGAAAGCACTGGAGCGACATTCTTGCTGCAACAGAAAACACTGCTGACAGTGCTGAGCCCCAACTAAAGAGAACCGCGTTAAATATCACCACAGTGGAGCCGATTGAAATGAGACAAATATTTAATGCGTGCACAATTAACGGAGATGTTCAAATAAATTTAAATAAACAACAATAAAAAAGAATCTCTTGTTAGGCAGCATTTTAATAACTGAATTGATAACATTAATAAAATAGATTAAAGACCTAACTGTTATCTATCAAAATATGTGCCCTTGTGTTTTTATTTATAGGCTATGTAAATATTTAGTTTAGTGCAGAGAGAAAATAACGGAATAAACAAAAAAGTAAACGTTTTCTCATGCTGAGAGATAAGCTATGCCTATTTGTGTGAGGAAATTTCACAAATATTGTGTTGTAAAAAATAAAAAGAATGAGACAAGTTTGAGAACGGTTTGTTGTTTTTATTTGAGCTTTCATGCATATTACACATTGGAACGTTGTTGTTCACGGTCAGGGACTATTTTTTTTCTAGCGGAAGGAATGCTTTTAATGCTTTTATTGATTTAACTTCCATGAAATTTCCACTAATCATTTTTTTTTTCTTTAATATTGTGTGGTAACCGTTTTATAAAAGCAATAAGGTACTCGAGGCAAGTGCTGTATCGTGAATAAGTAACGGCTGAAGGGGTTGCAGGCACTCCGCTTCGCGTCGTGCCTAACAACGCCCTTCAGCCGTTACTTATTCACGATACAGCACAGCCTCTCGTACCTTATTGCTTACGAATGAGCTGCCAGAATGCCATGTTTACAAACATATGAACTGTTATAGTATATCAACACTGATATTTTTGTTACAATACACCGCAATTTTCAGCAAAGCCCTTATCTTGATAAACAAGTCTGGACAACTCTGGTTAAATTTTTACCTGGCATTGAGAATTGTCAGAAGCAACACCCATTAACAATTGGCTACACCCTGTAAATTACTGAAGGGAAAATGTTCATTATGAAATTTTAAAAACAGATAAAAATTTGACATTTACGAATGTAATTCGTTTCCGTTGCAAAATGTAAAGTATATTATTGCACAGCTCTACAAATAAATTGGATATATATCCAACTGGATCTGCATAAATACAGTAAAATCAAGTAAAGCTACAGCTTGATTGTTTATTTGGTTGCAACATTTAAACTATATTATCGGACAGCAATATGTTGGACATATAGTACATCCAACTTTATCCACAAACATACAGCATACTAACGTAAAGCGATATTTACTCTAAAGAAAATCTCAACTCCTTGATTGTTTGTATTGTTACAAAATGTAAACTCAGCCAGCTCTTATCTGTTAAATCTGACTATAAGGTATGAAGATATTATAAATATTAACATCATGATATTCTGTAAAGCTGCTCTGAAACAATGTGTATGGAGAAAAGCGCTATACAAATCAAAGTGACTTGATTTATAAGCACATCATTTTCAGATTAAGGTCCACATTCTGCTTTATTCTGAAAAAAGACTGAAAATTTGTGTGTAATTTCAACTCAATTAATTCTCATTCACGTCCTTAAGAATAAAACGTGAGTACTTGCAACTGCCGGTCACTCTGCACTTATTGCTGATGATTTTTATTTCAGTGTTTATTTATTTATTTTTAATTAAATCTGTCTTCAACAGCTCGACTGTTCACAGCTGTCTGTAAACACTAAAGCACAGCAAGCTACCTGGACATCTGCAAATGAGACATTGCTCTGCAGAAAGAACATTATGCGATGTTGCATAAATCATTTAAGGAATTGTCATGGTAACAAATAAGTCAAGATACCACAATAACACTAAATACCCCTGTAACCGATGTAGTAGTAACTCTAAAACCAAAACACACGGGATTAGTCTGTTCTCAACTACAGCTGAGACTCAGTCTGGCTGGCGACCTGATTTACTTCAAACCACACAAAGTCACTGAAATCAATAACAGAAATATACATGAGAGCATGCAAATGAAATGACTAAAACAGAAGCGCAAACATCATGCAACACTCACCTCTACTTGATATAATGCACAGCCTTTCACAAACTCTCTGATATTACTCAAACACTCGTCCTTCCTCGGGTCCTGATAGATCTGAAAATGAAGCGAACAGATCAATCCTCTCACGAGCCGTACTTTTAAAAAGCTTTGTCAAGAAGTAAACAAAACCGTATGCGATTACGCCATTTGTTTATATCACAGATCATCGCCCCGTTCCAGCAAAAAGCCACTTATTCTCCACAGGGAAGTTGGCGGAGGAATAGCGGAAATGACGTGCTCTAATAGCTTGTGGTTGTTGGGTTCAGTGAGAGGGGCATGTTGGCACAGGCAAACATTACTTGACCTGTCAGAGCAAAGTCTATCTTCTTCTCCATGATGGGCTGCCTGTAACTATGCGACATATTGTTTATACAACAGAACGTTTTCAACAATAGAACTGAACATTTTAGTGCAATATTACATATTCCCAGAGTTTATCAGTATGTCATACGATTACTGCAATGTCAGCATCGACGATTGTATTGCTTATAAATCAGAATACATTTACCTCACTGTCTGTCAAGGCTGTGGTTGATATATAATTCACAAAACGTTTGTGAATTATTAATTTAAATAAAACCACTTAATCATTTATATCATATGTGAAAAAAATAACCTGCAAAAATAAGGATGCTCAACGAGAATTTATTATTGTTGAAATGTGCTCAAATGAAATCCAATTATCTGCTTCCTTAGCAGATTTCTATTTATAGTTAAAAATGTCTAGTTATAAATAGTGTTCTACCACCGACACGTGTTAATGAAAAAATAGGAATAATTAGAAATAATATTTTAGACATATTTGCATGTATTATTTGTTCACTCATCAGTTCTTGGACATCTCCGAATTATAAGGTTCGATTCAAAGAATCAGATTCGTGAACGATTCGCTGAAAAGATCCAACCCAAAAGAATTATTTCACAAACCGGACATCGTCGTTTCCTCTCTCTCTCTCTCTCTCTCTCTCTCTCTCTCTCTCTCTCTCTCTCTCTCTCTCTCTCTCTCTCTCTCTCTCTCTCTCTCTCTCTCTCTCTCTCTCTCTCTCTCTCAATTCAATTCAGCCTTACTGGCATGACAAAAAAAATACATTTTGTATTGTCAAAGCATTAAAACAACTTAGAAATGGTTTAGAACATCTGAACATTTAGTAAATATATAGAGAAAATAATAATAAGATAACAATAGTCTCTCTCTCTCTCTCTCTCTCTCTCTGACAGAGTCAATGGCGGACGACTCGTATGGACGAATCCCAAGGTTAATTTCCGTTGATATATTTTCTGCCACACATCACGTGCGTTCATTATTCCTGTAATCTCTTGTCACCGCAGATAACACGGGGGCTTCTTTGCATATTTTCTATTGATCCCCTTTCTCTCATAGTTGATATAAATAATAATAGAAACAGTAGTATTTTATTGTACAAATTTACACTGGTTCAGCATTGCACGTACAGTGAACACAAAACGCGCGCGCGAAGACAAATACAAAGGTCTGTGTGTCACATCTGTGTTTTTGTGTAACTGTGTAATATTTACTCGAATATGAAACTGCATGGACTTCATGAGCACATTAACAGCTTACCGTATAAACTGTACCGGGTCGCAGTCGTTCCAGTAGTTTACACAAAACCACTCCATCTCTGAGAGATGCTTGTAAAAAGCCTTCAGGATCCGATAGTGTCTTTTTGGGTGATTCCAGGACACCCAGCGTTATTAACCATGTGATGGTCTGTTCAGCCGAATTCATGACCTCATGCGTCCAAAGCTCAAACGCGATAATCCACAAGCAATCGAATATGAAAGCTGTATGAAATGACAGCAGAAATCCTGTGTAGTCCACAGCAGCAGCAGGACATTAGGAGCCAGGGCTCTGGTCCCTCCTTTTCCCTGGATGTGTTGGGGATGACGATTTGTTTAGGGTTATCTGGCAGGTCCGGTTTCCCTCGCCTCTTCTTTTCATCTGGCAGGATGTCAGCTAGTGTTAAACCAAAATCAACAACCCACAATTGTTTTCCGCCACATGACACCCAGTTCAAGCAGCCTGGGTCACCGAATACATGAAAGACTTCAGAAACAAACACACTGACATATTAGGCTTTCAGGAGCACTATACTGAATATATGAAAGACTATGTTTTTTCCATCACACGCCCACAGGTGGAGAAAAACACAAACTATTAACACAATCTTGAGCAGAAGCCATCTTGTATTGTCTACAGACCACTTGCTTCCATAAAAGTCAGCCCTTTGTTATAAAAGACGGATCAATGCGTCTAAATTTATTCAAAAAAGGCGCTGATGCCAAGTATTAATCCATTAAAATCCAAATGTAGCTCTAGCGCCCCCTGCCGGATTCCCAAACCTTTTTTTTTATTTTATTATTTATTTACTTTATTTATGGTACGAAACTTGGTAAAGGTTTTGGCACTTGCTGTATGAACACACACAAATGACTCGAAAAGGTTAAATGGTCCTGAAAAAAATAGTCACAGACACTTTGAATTGTTCGTGGTCAAAAATGACCGCATTGGAAATTAATGGGAGATGAATTTCATCTATTGGAGAAGTTTGTTATTGCGCACAAACAAATTCTTATTGAAAGCTCTTCTTTTTTTTTTTTTGGACATATATATTTATGGCTTTGATTTTCTCAGTTTTTGAGTAAAACGTGCTTTAGAAAATATCTTAATATAAACATTTCATATAAAAAAAATTTTTATATGAAAAGAATACAAAAAAGTGGTATTTTTGTGCATTTTTCATAAAACATTTTAGGCCTATAACTTTTTTCAAGTTCACTTTTTTTTTTAAACTTTAGCAATAATATGCCAAGTGTCATCTTTAAAAAGAGACCAAACTGGATTCAAGACTTATGACAGTTTAAGAAATTTCATTTTTAGGGTCCATGCTCAAAAAGTGACTAAATGGATTATAACTAGTGCATTAATTTAATACCATTAGATAAAAACCATTATCAAACTAAAATATAGTACAACCATTTCATTGTACCAGAGGGTTAATACACACAATACAAAACATTCTATGTGCTGTAATGAAGTGACTAAAAATAATATTATTTACATATATATATAAATATAAAAGTATAAATTAAGAAGCCTACAACAAACACTATCATGATGTATACTTTAATTTTTATTTCACCTTTTCCACATTACAGCTGGTTATTGACATTTTGGGGAAAAAATTATGTCACAAATCTTTGTTGTCCTCAGAAAAAGGGCTCTTTTACCTTTAAGCAAAATATAATCTAATATATCCATTTAATTGTATGACATTTTGTAAGCTTCACCTGTGCATTCATCATCACCAAAAGCAAAACAAAAGGACAACAATGTCTATAAATAGGCCATCTCTTTATTGTTGTTGATTTTCACATATCAATCTCTGAAATGACATATTCAAACTGATTAAGGGAAGAGCCTTTCATCCAAGTTCACACACCCAAGAGAGGGAGAGGAGGAGAGAGTCAATCTCTGGCTGGAGGGGAATCGTTTTAAAAAGGTCTATTTAAGAACTGTACTCCAAAAAGGAATGGAAAAAGCAGGGCAAAATGAAAATACTGATAAGGTGACTGTTTTATATATATATATATATCTAAAATCCTGGTGTAATCTCCAGCAGTCATTCACGAAAGCCACACGGTCTTCAACTTATACCTTTCGATTTAAACCTCGGCCTAAATCTAAGGTCAGACCTCAGGCCCAAATCAGCGGCTCAAGTTTAATCCAGCCATACAGTGAACTTTGAGATGGTGAAAACCATGAAGTGGAAAAAAAATTGATGCTCAGAGAGAACAGGCACATTTGGAATAATTGTAAAGGTTGCCTAACATTTTCTAACATTTGTCACTGTTTAAAACAGTGGTAATAGTTTCAGTTTCTCACAGAAAAACATTTTTTTCCTTGCTTTATTTTTTCCTTTTTTTTTGGTCTCCAACACTCCCCACCACGCAAAAACAGCTGGAGGAAAAGGGTAGTGATGTGAGTTTTCTCCCATGCACACACGAGGAACAAGTCCTCGATACGGGACTGTGCAAGGCTGAGTGTCTAAGTACGAATGTCCTTAAATGTATGAGCAACACTGATGACTCCATAATCACGTGACCTTTAGGAGTGTACAACGTATAGTGTTTGTATGTGTGCACGGGGGCCGTTTTGAGATCTAGAATCAGTCGGTCACTTGTGTGTTCAGATGATTTCAAAGGTTTTCTTCAGTTCCATGATTAACTGCCAGTCTGATTTCTGCATCTCGTCTCTGAACCAGTTCTTCAGAGTGTCGATTGACTGACGGGTGATCTACAAGAGATACAGGAACAAATGTGCATTAGATAATCAATACCAATCACGTTTAAGGGGACGGCAGATTGAATACAGACACTATTTTAGTAATATTTGTATACTATTATAGTATTTATTCATATTTTGAATTAACTTTTATATATTCCGGTTTCATTTTCCTAATATACCATTTTAAAGGCTCCTTATTTTGTCTTGGAACAAATATACTGGAGGCCATGAAATTGTGAAAATGATCAAAAACACTGGCGGTGGCTGGCAACTTGTTTTTTTTTTTTTAATGCTGGCGGGAAAAGGGTCAACAAAAACAACACTATGTCTTGGCATCACATGAGCCCCAGTGGCTTTATTTCGGGATGTAGGAGAGAGCTTACCTTGCTAACAATGAGGTCTACAGCCTCAAAGTGTCGGCCGAACATCTTGGGTGATTCTCCAGGAATTGGTTCTATTTTCACACAGATCTCCTGTCCTTTCTTAGCGATGTCTACAGATTTGTGATTTATTTCAATACCGGTCACAATACCAATGTCTACAAACTGAGAAGGAGAGAAAAAATAATGCAAACAATATCACTACAAATTCGATTTTTACCGTAAAATAAACTGCTAAAACGGAAGAGAAAATGACAGTAGAGGAAAGCGGTTTCTCTGCTTCTTTATTTATTGAGCATATAATGTGTAAACGGTCTAAACGTCTCACCCCTTTGGTGGGCACACACACCGGAGTGCCTGTTCTCAGAACTCCAGCGTCCACAATGACGCCCATGACAATGGGATCTCTGGAGTTGAAGATGAACTGGGGCAATATACGCAGCTTACAGGGAAACACGGCTAGTTGTCTGAAAAAGAGAGAAACTTTCAAATATTCAGACTGCAAACATTCAGGAAAAATTATCTGTTTTTCAAAGTAACACCATTTGACCTTTGACACAGTCTTTAAGAATCTAGGCTTGTTTGTGAGTGGTTAAATGTAAAAACATACACTACTATAGGCTCAGTTAGATTTGTCATATTTCTGAAAAAGTCTATTTTGCTCACCAAGGCTGTGAAAACTTTAATAATTACTAACATTTTTAATAATGTATTTTAAAATGTAATTTCTGTGAATTTTCAGCATCATTTTTCCAGTCTTCAGTGTCGCATGATCCTTCAGAAATCATTCTAATATGCTGATTTGTTGCTTAAGAAACATTTTTTGTTAAAATCAATGTTACTGCATTATATTTTTGTGGAAACTGTCTATTTCTATTCAACAAGGAATTGTGAAAAAACAGCATTTATTTGAAACAGAAATCTTTTGTAACATTATAAATGCCACTATTTGCTGCCACGATTTATCAATTTAATGCACTATTGCTGAATACAAGTTTTAATTTTTAGTATGAACTAAAAAAGTATTAACTTTTGAACTGTAGTGTATATCGCTGTTAAAATTAGGTAAAACTGTGAGGATGAGGGCAGTAGATAACGCACTTGAACTCATCCTGTTTCTGTTTCTTGTAGTCTTCTCTGTATTTGGTGAAGGCGTCAAACAGATGGTAGATGATCTCAGCGCTGAAAATGCGCACGCCGAGACTGTCAGCCATCTCCTGAGAATCTCGCTCTATTTTCACATCGAACGCCAGGATCACTGCATACCTACAGAAAGAAAGAGAGAATGATTAGCATGATTTAATCTCATAATAGGAGATAAATGATATATTACTCAGAATACATACTGTTGATCATGCTCCAACATAGTAGAAGCTTTCATGACGTCTTTCTTGTGGACGGGACCAATGTTGATGCCAGCATACTGAAGGACAGAAAGAGAATCTAAGTGGAGATGCAAACAACTGAAACACTACAGCTCAATTACACTGCAACAAGCTCAATGGAGAAAACAAAAACAATTATTATTTTGGTAATCAAGTAATCGGTTGATATTTTGACGATTAATCGAGTAACCTGATCATTTTTTTTGTGGTAATACAAATAGACCTAAGCGAACAATAACGTGTAAAATGACTTAAAATACATATATAAAAACAATAAGGCAATAATTATTGGTTTAAACACTGTTAAAATACATAATGTAATATACATAATATAAACAATCAACTTATGAATATTCCACATTATATCAAATTTCTGTAGAGGGCGCCAACTGATTGTGATTGTTGTCATATTTAGAAATATTTTGATGTATTCTCCTGTAGGTTTACGTTACAAATCTGGTGAAACGGCGCACGGTGTGTTCCCAGATGAACGTTATAAGCAACCCGAGCTGCAAAGACGCGCTTCACGCATGCAAATGATAACAGTGCAACCCTTCGCTATGAAACCCAAATCGCGTCAGACTTTATATGCCTTCCCAAACGCACGTTATTGGAAACCCAAACAAACAGCACATGCAGAGACTGAGTTCGTGTGGAGCAGCATTTACTGTGAACGGAGCCGCTCTGAGATGCGTAACCTGCACATATGTAAATAATTAAAGCATCGCGCTTCACCAAAACCCGCAGTGCATATACTTATTTAAATTAATCGCAGACTTTGTGATTTCACAGTAGCACTATGCTATATTATGATTTTTAAATGGTTTAATTATATCGTACAGCCCAGGGGAGTAGGAGCAATTTTGAAACTGGGGGGGACAGTAAATGCTGGGGGGGGGGGATGTCCTGAATTTTTGTATATATTTTTTAAATATATAAGGCACTTAAATGCTAATTTCTAAAGACTTATGGTAACAGACTGTATCACTTAGTTTGTTTCTAAGCA